GTCAAGACATTAAACTTGTTTTAGACAAACATTCTCATCAGTGATGCTGGTACTGCCGTCATCACAGACTTTGGACTTTCCACGGTCATTGAGGAGCTGTCACTTATGGAGTCCGGTTTGCAAGCTGCGAAGCTAAGATCGTCTGGGCACCGTGGTTCAACGCGTTGGATGGCGCCTGAACTGTTTATTGCACTCGTCGACGATGAGGTTCCACAAATCACAACCGAAAGTGACGTCTACTCCTTTGGATGCGTATGTCTGGAGGTCCGTCCTTTTTTTTGTTTGATAGCGAGAGGACATCATATATGTACGTATGTCAGGTGGCTACTGGATACCCGCCATATGCTCACCGGTGGAACGACCCCGCTGTGACCGTTGACATAATGCGAGGCGTCAAACCATCCAGGGGTGCACCGACGACATGCAAGATCGTGTTCACTGAGAAACAGAAGGAGGAGTTCTGGGAGATCCTGAACCAGTGTTGGGATCCTATCCCCATGCTCCGACCAAGTATGGCTTCAGTGAGGGAGGCACTTGCTACCATGGCTGGCTATTGTACGTGATAGCAGTAGGTGGTGATTTGATGAATTACATGATTGCTGAATTGCAGCAGCACATCTAACTTCGATATTACTGGTACATTTTTAATGCACAAGTTGGTACTAAGCCATTGCATATACAGTGTACATTACTATGTGCCTATCTGCTAGCATCTCCATGGAAAATCATCTTTTTGTCAACTATGTTTTACCTGGCATGCTACTGTAGAATGTACTCTTGGTTGGGTGTAATAGCCAACTGAGGTGTCCATAACTATGCTACCCAAGTGTGAAAACACAAGAATATATAATACAGCAAAATGCATACCACAATACTAAGTTAATTAAATGTAGGCACAAGCAGAATAAGAAAAGCAGAATATACATACTGTTGGAATTGTTTATCAATTACTACCGGTTCTAGATTGCTTACCATTAGTGATGACTCACTATGATGTCATGCTTTATAAGTGACTCAACAATGATGTCACTTTACTCCACTTATTCTATGGTGTTCCATGACATTCTTTACTATACATGGTAGATAGTAGTTCCACTTACTATATGCGTCACCTGGTCTGTGCGCATCCTACATGTATATAAACCAAGGGGTTTCTGCCGTATCCCCTCAGACTAGCAGTCAATCTTATACTGTTAACTCTTTGAGCCTCAACAGCTCTCTTACAAATTACCGTTTACTTTCAACGCTCTATCCAATCATAAAGGCAAGTGCTCGTCTTAAGCTCTCGCCCTTTTCCCCTTTGTCCTCGTTCCTCTGCCAATAGGTTATGAGCCCCGACATCTAACTGTCGGTGTGCTATTGTCATTACGCATTTACTGATCTCTGGCGATGGCCATATCAGCATGCCTATTGATGGCCCAGATGCGCTGGGATTGAGCGTTATTGCTTACCTTGTGTTGCTTTTGATGGCTTTTTATACTACTGTTTTTTATATGTCCCTTGGAGGATATGGATCATTTAGGGAAATGTTTGCATGCTTGCTAGCCTTCTGGACTGCAGCCTTAGCTGGTCCTTTATGGTGCGACATCTATCTCTATTGGGTACGCGCTCGCATCACTGCTGCCATGGGAGCTGATTTACGTCTCATTCGCGATGGACTTCATCCTCCTATGGTTGAGGCTCCGCCTCCCAATTATCTTCTTCACGTTATTCCCGATTGCAACAACGATGCCAACCTAGATCCCGTTCCACCTTACACGATAGAAGGAGGTGCCGATCCTATACCTCCTGTTTGTGAAGCGACTCCACCCCTGGAGCTCGTTTTGGTGATGAATGACGTGCTCGCTCAGGCTAATAACCTGATCGCTGAGGTCGATCTCGCTGTCAATGACAACACTGAGTTCGATTTGCTTTTTTAGCTGCGTCTTTCACTATTTAAGAACGGGTCCTTACCTTCTTGGCAGAATGTCTCTCGTCATTGCTAAACGAACTGAAATCGCTGCTGCCCACACTCGTGACAGCATGTACGCGGGAAATAAGTGGAGAGAGGAGTATGTGAAGAAAGTTGTTGAATATATGGAGGTGTTATACGTTAGAGATTGTTCCCACTGGCGCTATGCGGTACCCTTGAGTAGATCGTTTTTCGTGCGCCTGCAAGCCTTGCTCGCCCACGTCCCTCTCTCTCAGATCGAGGTGACATGGGATGGCTTCCCGACGTATCCTGGAGCCGACATGCCGTTCGAACTTCCTGGGATCCATACTGCTTATCATGGTTATCTTACCGACTTCGCCCCTAAAGTTTCCTTCCTGTCTTCTCCAAATGCTATTGCTCACTTCAACGGTTGTGACCTTCCTAGTCTAACCTATGAAGATCCTGCCCTCTGGACTGTTCCGGCCTCCACAATTACTCACGACACCTTCGTCTACATATACTACAACTGCCATGCCCTCTACATCTCGGGAAACCCTTTCTGCAAGCTCGTCCCTCCTCTCAGGGTTTGGCACGAGTATTTGGAGAGCCATTACAGAGGACTTTGGAGAGAAGGAGTCACCGATGTTGAATGTGTTCCCCTCTACTTCCGAGAGCATAAACTCGGGGGACATCTTTTTGATCTCCAGTTATTGGAGTTCATTGACAACTTTAAGGCGATCACAGATATGGACGCAACCCGAGCAGGTGTCAACCCAGATCGAGGTACTCTTTGGTACCTTGACACTGCTGGTTACTGCCGCTTCGTTTACTGGCCAACAACTGGCACGGTTTACGCAGATCTCGAATGTGCGATGGACTGTACTACTGGACAGGCTTATGTCCAACCCAGATGTCGCAGATTATATGCCAACGCTCTTGCTAGGTCTCGTGCGGCTACCGAAGTTAAGCACAAACTATCCTCTTCCCGGTACAATGGACGTACCGTACGCATCCACAGGCCGATTCCTAGAGTATCCTGATGGATCTCTCGATCCCTGCCTAGATAGCCCTTACAATCTTTATGAAATCTTGGCTTCTAGGGAGTACAGTAATCGCATATATGGCTGGTTTCCATTTCCTTATAGTTGTGCCTCTGAGTGGTTAGGCTTTTCGAACCCCCATGGACTTCATGAAATGGGATGGTTGTTCCTATCCTACCACTACTTCCCTGACTTATGCTTCGACTTTCTCGAGTATAATGTTCAGCGGAGTTCTCACATCGCCAATTGGCATTATGCTGAGAAAGGCATGGAACCAGAACCAAAAATAAAACACCGATCACCACGTACTCGGAATCGTCCCGGACAAAAGTCCCGTGCCTGCAAGCGTCGTAAACACATGTGCACCCTCCTCCAAGGTGAATTTAATCCATCTATCACCGATCCAAGAAAAACTTTCCTTTACGACCATCTAATCCTTGACATTTATTAGAATGTCTTCTGAAGGAGGTCTTGGAAAGAACATCCCAAAACTCAATGGGATGAACTACACTGTCTGGCAAGTTATGATGAAAGCATACTTTCAAACTTTGGGAGTGTGGGGAATCGTTGCGGGTACAGAAGCTTTACCTGCAGATGCTGCTGCTGCTGCTGCTTGGCACACCTCGGATGCATGTGCTCAAGGATGCATCACTTTATACTGTGATCCAATAATTGCACTCTCTGTTGATGCCCATGCAACTTCTCATTTGAAATGGGAAGACTTGGAGAACAAATATGGCAAACCTTCTGCCATGACAACTTTCATGGAATTTCAAAGACTCCTCAAAATTCAAGTTAAACCCAAGGACGATCTCATGGCTAAAATTGCCGAGATCAACATGCTTTTTAAGACCATCACTGGTCAAGGCATTACCTTGGACGACAAAATGAAGTTGTTACTCCTTGTCAATACTATGACAGCATCCTGGGACCAAGCTCCCACAAATATTCTATCATCTATCGACCCCGCACAACTCAAACCAGACACTGTTATTCCTCGAATGAAGGAATTATGGTCTCATCGATCCAGACAATCTTTGTTACCAAGACAAATGGGAGAATCTTCTGGTTCTTCCACTACTATCAAAAAGGAATCAAATTCTCTTTTATCTCGCATGAATAAACCGCCCCTTTGTAATATTTGCAAAGGATCGCATAATACTCAGGACCATCGTGGTGGTGGATCATCTCGTGGCCGAGGTAGCTGAGGAGGTTTTCGTGGCAGACACGGAAGAGGGGGAGGTGGTTACCAACCTTACCCTCAAGGAAATCAAGGAAATCAAGGTCAAAATCAAAACCAACAGGGAGGTTTGTCCAACAGAGGACGAAACCAGAATCGTTGCCGTGGTAAGGGCAAGGGAAAAGCCCAAACCAACGAGCTAGACATTCCTGGACAAGGTGCTGAGGAGTTTAACCTCGCATCAATTGATGAAGTCCAGGAAAATTACCCTGATGATGACTTTGACATCAATGCAATCAATTTCCGCCACACTTCTCCGGAGTATTCTCCAGATGATGCCATTGAATCCACTTCTCGTCCTGATCTAAATGTTCCTCTTGGCACCCATAATATTCTCGCTTCTCGGGAGCTGTCTCCTGAGTTAACTGCTGAGGATATCGAGATGGCCATGGAACATGTCGGTCATGTTCCCACATTACCAATTCAACCAGATGGTACTCTCTCAGACTGGTATCAAGAGGAAATACAGAACTCCTTCATCTCTGAAGTTGAGTCAGTAACTCCTTGTGTCAAAATACCAAGATCTAATTCTCCTTGTTTTTGCACTATCTGCATGCGCGCCTACTGCTCCTCAGAGTCGATGGGTTTCAGAATGGATTTATCCCTTCAGGAATCCCTACAACGGGAGAACTTGGATCCTCTATCGAGGAGGATTCCATTTCCCTCTTCTGAGTCGAGAACCCGGCCTATACTTAGCTCGCCCATCCAACCCGAGAATGGAATGGGAGCTACTGGCCTGGTTGATATACGCGTGGCAGGAGAGAGGAGTTCTGCAGATGATGTGTCGCAGGTTATTCGAGGAAACAGACATTCTACCAAGTCTTCCTGAAAATCTCGCAGACCACTTAAATTATCATTAGCAGAATTTCATGCGAGTGTACCAAATCCGAGGACTTATATTCGTCCTCGTCCTTTTATTTGTCTTGATGTACTGGACTTTGATCATGACCTGGAGAATTCTGTCAGTGGTTACAACCCTGGCGAATTCAACTGCAATGCAGTAGACGCTTTTGACTGTTATCCCTGTGATACTTCAGTCAACATCATACTTCCCAAAGGCGAGTCTATTTGGATGCTTGACTCAGGGGCTTCACATCATGTGACCCCTTATTATTCTGACTTCTTATCTTTTAAGAAGTATAATTCTCTGCAGTCAGCTAATACTGCTGGAAAACAATGAGTCAACCTTATTGGTGAAGGAACTGTAGTGTTGCAGCTAGAAAATGGCTCCACTCTTTCCTTGGATCAAGTAGTTTATAGCCCTCAATTTTCGAAGCGATTATGCTCTCGAAATATGCTTCTAAACAGGGGATATAGAAGCAAAGTGACTTCAAACAATGAAGT